TTTTTTTTTTTTTTAGCTGAGCCGTCCTGCCACCTATTGGCAGCTTAGCAGTAGCTCAGCTTGGGCCGGGCATCGAACCGCTGTTGCTCAGAGCTGAAACTCTTGAGCGAGCTCTTAACCAACTGAGCCACTCGGCCGGCCCTCTTTGCCATATTTTTAGAGCCAAGGTTTAAGGACAAATTTTATTCATGTAACTATGTAAAACAGCAATTGCAGGCAAAACATAAATATATTAGGAATTAAAAAATGTACGTAAAGAAGCTTGAGATTCAGAAAATATTTTCTTTAACTGGTACTAAAAGCTTCCACATGAGGGACTGGTTCAACCAAACTGCACCATCAGCAGCAGCCACACCAAGACTAGGGTTTATAAATGGAGATGAGTCTTTACTTTTGTTGGTTCTTATTAAAGAGAAAGGAAAGCTTGATAATTTTGTGGCAGCATCAACACTAGCAGTATCCCATAAGGGTAGCACTAACCACACATTATCTGCTACTATGCCCTCTGTAGGTGAAAGTGAGGGGGAGAAAGAACTTTTCCTTTCTCCTTTTAGGTTCTTTCAGCTGGTCTAATATTTACATCTCCAGGAGACAGATTAACAAGAGAAAACAACCAAATTTAATCACATGCATATGTACGTGAACCCTACAAATATGAGAGAATCAGAGACCTCACGTACATGAGAGGTTCAGGGACAGAAAGGTTAAATGAGGTATACATGACATCCTGAGCTGAGGAAGAGATAAGAAGCCTTGGTGTTCAGAGGGGAGGAGGGCCATTCACAGGAAAATAAGAGCAGATTTTCAGTAATTAGATGTTTGCCCTGGCCTATAGATAGGCCATAAAAGGTTATTTCTGGAAATAACTCTGATTATGGGAGCAGCTCCTAATTTAAATTCTTTGAGGGAGAGATAAATTTCCCTTGAGCCCACAGGGTCTTGATTGCCTTCAGCTCAAAATAATCCACAGGCCAAAGTGGCACATCTTGGGGAGGACTGTTCTGAACCCCTTTCAGAAGAAAGCATCTATTTATGTGGTAGATAACACAACTGTTTATTTCCAGGTGTATTTTTCTTGACTCTTAGGTATACAGGGGATTACACTCCTTCTGCCCTTAAAGGCACAGCTATTTGACTCCTTTGGGCTGATGAAAAGTGAGTGAAAGTAACCTTACACATCTGGGCCATTGCATTTCGCTGCCAGTGGTAAATACTCTAGTCCTCCCCTTCTCAGCTGCAGTGAACCCTGAGCTTCATTTTGAGATGTGGAGATGATAAGATGGCGGAGTCCCCATCAGTCTGCCAGCCCATGATGGATGCATATCACAAACAAAAAATAAATCTTTGCTGTTTTAAGCCACTGGGATTTTAGGGTTTGTTTCCCAAGCACAACCTAGCTTATCCTGACTGGTGTAATTTAGTGTCATAAATGTATAGTATAATGACCCCAGAAGCAAACTACCAGCTTACACTTGATGAGAAATAAATATTCCTGAATAGAATGTCAAACTTGAAAAGTCTGAATATTAACATTTTAATAGTAAAATTGTAATAATAGTTTTAAAATTAATAATACCTGACTTTTATATTTCATGTTGATTCTGGTATCTTAGAAGTTTATTATGTGATAGTGATATTCTGCTGCCACCAAATATTGATTTTTAACATGTAGCTATTTTGCATTCAGCCAAATGTACATTTGGTGCCCATCTAAAAAATATATACTAAATAAAAATTATATGACAAAAAGCTTGGCTCTGTGCCCTTCATTTAAAATAGTTACTTGACAGAAACCTGAACCGATTTGTAAATCATCACAAATTATTCAAAGGACTAATACCTTGATCTTCTAAAACTCAGGCATTTTTTGCTGCCCTCTTGCATCCCCTATCTTGTCTCTCCTGCTGCCACCAGCTGGCTTCCACTACTGTTGAATTCCAGAAACCAGCAGGATTCAATTCAGTGTTTTGTTCTGACTGCTGGGTCCCTGATGAGAACACCAGTCAGTTAAATAAGTTAAATTTTAGGTTGAGAATAGAAAAACAATCAACTCATTTCCTACATATTTTGTATAATCAGATAGCCACACAATAGCTGGTACTTGTCCTGCTATGGTGGTCCAGACAAGCCCTCAGGCTAACAAAAGAGAAGACATTTCCATTCTTAAGTTGATATTCTCCTCCCAGGGAAGAACAGTATTAAAAATTACAGAAGTTATATAAGAGCAAAGGTCTGTTCAAATACAATAGCGCACCTTTAGTCTTAGTGTAGTTTTAGGCTTTAATTACTTCAAAAGTACAAATTCTACAAACTTACACAAAACATCATTTGAAAGTCAAGTAATTTAAATCTCTTTCATGCTTATTTGCTCTTGGGAATTTTTGAACAGTAAACATATTTCAATATTTTGTTTCAGTCAATGTTTACCATCCTCAACTAGGGGGACTAAAAAATTTGAAATTTAAAATTATTCAAAATACATAAAATGAGTAAGTATAGAAAAAATTTAAGTAAACATTCAAGTGATGCTTTTTGCAAGTATGTAGCATTTATACTTCTGAAATGATCAAAACCTAAAACTGCATTAAGACTTTTGGGACACCTGTACATGGAAAACAGTGGAGTCACAGGATGCTTGATGATCTTTTATAATTTACACCCAGCTATGTCCAAAATAAATTGACACGTTTTGTAGTAACACATACACACATATATACAAGATAAGTCACAAGGTTTCTTGAACCTAGAGAGGAGATATAGTGCTAAATTATTAAAACTTTAGGAAAAGTATGGAGAGTGAGGCAAACTAGTAGCAATATTTGTAAGATTGGTTTCTGTTATTACACTTTAGTTTTACTTTAGAGGGGGTTGAGAGCGCATTTTTATTCGAGATACTTGTTCTTATGATAGTATTAAGACAGGTTAGTTAGTATAACGTCAGGCAGTCAGGAATTCCCTGGTAGACTGAGCAAAGATAAAACACTCGCCATTTCTTACACTAGCCATTTTTTTCAAAGTTATGAGCTAACTCCCCTTGTTGGAACATCAATCATGCCCCAGAGTAACAAAGCCATTTTGAAGGACATTATACGGAAAGGCCTTCCCAAGGCTTAGCAACAGAACAAACCTGAGAAAACACCTTAATAACAAACACTAATATTCCAGCACTCCCCCTTCCAGGCAGAAAGAAAAGTTTAAAACTCAAGCCTTTTACCCTAGCTAGTGGGCATCCCATTTTCCGAGTACCCCCTCCAGCTCGGGAGCTGTAACCTTTCTCTTGCTTTAATGAAACTCTCCTCTGCTACAAACTCTACCTCTCTCGTCCGTGTCTCCATTCTTCAGCTTCACGAGGCCACGACCCGGCACAAGAAATATCCTACATCAGTATTATGTTCTCAATATTTGGGTATTAGTATTTTTATTGCTAATGATGCTTTTCCAGAAAAGTTAACACAAGTAACTTTTAAGGACTTGAAAATTAATGCAAAAAAAACAATCCATAAATATTAGTTTTCCTTGTATAGTTCAGTGGTTGTCAATCTTGGCTGCACAGAGGAACGATCTATGGAGCTTAAAAAAATACTAATGCTTGGATCCCAAGCTGAGATTGACTTAGTTTAGGCTCCAGAACTTAAAAAAAAAATTTTTTAAATCCCCTAGTGCTCCTAATGTACAGCCAAGGTTGAGAGCCACTGTTCCAAGTCAATATATAATCAGGTATACATCAACATAAAAATATGTGCGTGTTCAGAGCTCCATTTTTTTGGTTTTTACCATAGAACTAATCTCAAATTTTGTAATGAAAGAGGTTGAGAAAATAACCTAATTTAATCAACAACATAAATAAAGCTCTGTCAGGGTGGAAAAATTTCTCTTCCCTTCTAGGTTCTTCTGGCTGGTATAAAAATTAAATTGACATGAGACAGACTAACAGGAGCAAAGCAAGCAAAAGTTTCATAACATGTATACCTCCTGTATACGCAGGAGAGACCCAGGAAAACTGAGTAACTGAAATGGCAGAAGCCATCAACTTAAATACCATCTTCAGCTAAAGACAAACGATGTTGGGGGTGGGGAGGAGGCCAGGTAGGGAGGTGACCAGGCAAAGCACAGGAAACAAGGGTCAGGCTGTTATGCAGAGTTAAGTCCTGCCTCTCCATTGATAAGTTTCTAGCGATTTCCTTATCTTGCTCTTCCTGGTACAGAGAAGGAGGGACCTTACAAATGGAGATTTCCCTTTATAAATGTAAATATCTCTTACAAAAGCGTAACTTCTACTAGGTTTTCAGAGCTTCTCTTATGTTTGTAGTTTTTTTTTAATAACCAGTTTAAAATAATATGCCAAAAAGGGTGGCAAATATTTTGGGGTAGCAAATCCTGCTCCCCTACACAGCTCTAAAATACTATGTTGAGCAAAATATGCCAGACAAAAAACAGTACTTACTGTACGACTCTACTTACATAAAGTTTAAATAAATTAAAAGGGGAGGGGGATTTACTGGGAAATTCCTGAGATGAAAATGTTCTTTCTTTTGATTAGGGTACACAGATATATGGTTATTAAGATTCATCAAAATGGACAGTTGAGATCTGTATTACGATTTCGCTGTATGTAAATTAACTTAAATGAAAAGAATGTAACTAACTTAAATCTAGATAACTATGACAAGGTGTGGGAGGCGGAGACAATTATTACTTCAGATGACCTCAAACCCTCACTAAATTAAAAGGAACAGCGAACACCACGCCAGAGCTGGAGAGAACGGCGAGCTAACAGCAGGGAGGGCCAAAGCCTAAGAAATCGCTAGAGGGCTAGCAGCCGCAGCGAAGCTGATGCCGGGATCACGGCGCCCGAGTGCCCCACAAAAATAAGCCCCCGCGCCCTTTTCCGGTGCGCACACGTCTGTCCGTCCGTGTGACCCCACCGGAAGGGTCCGGGGGAAAAGCAGTGCCATCGCGAGAAGTGAGCCGGTAACAGGTTGGTTCCTGCGCGGATGCTGTGGCTGTAAGAGCCGCGTGGTCGGCTGGTTGCGGTTCGCAGGGAGGAGGACGCCGGGGGCTCGCCTTCCCTCCGCCGCCTCTGCCACTGCCATGATTCCGGTGTCGCTGGTGGTGGTAGTGGTGGGTGGCTGGACTGCCGTCTACCTGACCGACTTGGTGCTGAAGGTGAGAGCTTCGGGCTGATGGCTCAAGCCCACGCGCGGTACCCAGGGCGGGGTGCAGGGCCCGAAGCCTTTCCTGCTCCCCTACCTCGCGCCTCCCGGGCTGGCAGCCGCGCGGCCGTTGCCCACGTTTGGTCTTAAAGCGCGGCGGGCCGCGCGGGAGGGGTGTGGCGGCCTGCCCAGCAGCCGCAGTCTCGTTGCCGGGCGGTGCAGGCCCCGCAGCCTTGGCGTCCTGCTGAGGAAGCTCCGGTAATAGTCTCACGAGGACCGGGGTCCTGCCATACCTCACGGCAGTGCCCCAGGGAGGAAACGAAATTTTCCGCCTAGGAAAGGCATTGTTTCCCCTCATTGTCTTGAACTCCACGACTCTGTAGAGACTGCTGGCACTGGAATGAATCTAAATTAAGTTGTGATTTAGATCAGTTGTCTCAAACTTTAAAAGTGCATACGGTCATGGGAGTTCCGGTTAAAATGCACATTCTGATTCAGCAGGTCTGCGGCAGGGCCTGAGATGGTGCGTTTGTAACCAGTTCCCAATTGCTACCAATGCTGTTTGCTAATCTACAGACCATTCTTCAAAGTAGCATCCTCAGAAGCAGGGATTTAGATAACTAGCCTCTGATTATTCGAATGTTAATTTGCACCCGGCTCCCCCTTCTTTACATTAACTCCCCTCCCACCCACACTCTGGGTGCACGGTCCATTCTCCAGTTATTTGGGAAGGGTAGCAAAAATTACCAACATTTGTCTGACTGCATGGTTCAAGCAACCTTTTGGAATTGAATATTGGGGGTGTGGGGCTTAACTATGTGTGGAATAAAATCATATAAATTCTCAAATGTTTAATAAAAATTCCAGTTATGAATAGTAAAACCATGTTATGAATACCGTTCTAAATAGAATGCTATAGTTTAGTATTGTGTGCTTTAGATTTCACAGTAAAATGAAATGATACTTGTGCTTCTTAGTTGCAGTTAAACTTGCAAAGTGAGGCGGTTATACAGTGGCGTCCTTAGAGCAAGAGCTGGGATCTGCCACTTCTAGCCCTTGTGACCTTGGACAAAATATTATCTTGTGCCTCGGTTTCTTCCTCTTTAAAATAGGGGTAATAATTGGTAAGGATTTCCTGATATTGTAGAGAGCATTACATTAGTTCATACACATAAAGCCTTGCTACTCAACCTGAGGTTCAAAGACCAGCACCACTTGCATCATCTGGGAGCTTGTCAGAACTGCAGAATTCGAATCTCAGTCCTCAACCCTGATCTACAGAATCAGACTCTGCTGCTTCTTGGCATAGTGCTTAGCATGGCATAAGCAGCACAGGCCACTGCTTTAAAACAGATTCTGTTTAGAAGCAAAGGCACACGATTTCTTCGTGTTGCATCTCCCTGGGGATTGGCGACACTTCAGAGCTTTCGAAGCCTGCACCTTCAGTTTGTTTCCAACATGGTCTGCTCTTCCACTATTGGTTCTTCTAGGATTTCCTTAGTAGACATCTGCTGAAAGGGTGCGTCACTCTCATTTTCCAAGTCCTGGAAAATAAGCAGGTTTAAAACACTTCACCTAAAGATTGAGAGCAGAGAACATTACGTATCCGAAGGCAAACGGATACCTGTGTTCAGACTCAGGTCATTTTTGATGACTGGGCTGAAATATCCTTCTAGGAACAGATAAGTTTCTCAAATGGATGGACAATGATATGACAAAATACTTACTGTACTTACAGTAACTGAGGTAATAGGTGTTCAGTGTATATAAAACAGCCTTACATTATCTAAAATCCTTACTCAAGGACTTCAAACTTCTCTAAAGATAAAACTCTTGTTAGGCTGTGTATAAACAGTTATCTCTCCAACCATGAAGAATGTAAGAGAAGTTCCTGAGACCAAGATGGCTTTAGATAAATTTTGTACTTTTACATGATCCAAGTCAGCCTAATTTCTTAGGGTTGTTGCTCAGAAAAGGACAGAAAGCATTGATTCCAAGTAACCTGTACCCTCTGCTGGATTATTTGGGAGTCTCTTCAAATTATATCACAAGCACACTTGCTATGGTAACAAGGCTTCTATTGGGTTGTCGGAAAAGTCATGACGCATTTTTGCAATGAAAAACAAAAAATACTTCATGACTTTGCTGACAACCCAGTAGACCTGCACTGCCCAGTGCGGTAGCCGTTGAGCTACACATGGCTGTTGAGCATTTGAAATGGGGCGAGTCCGAATTGAGATGTACTGTAAGTGGCAAGTTGACACCGGATTTGGAAGACTTAGTGCACAAATGAATGAATAGAATTGTAAATTATTTCAGTGATATTTTATATTGATTTCATGTTAAAATGATAATATCTTGGATATTTTGAGTTAATATATGTAAATTAATTTCTTTCCGTTTACTTTTTAAAATTTGGCTACTAGAAATGTTAACATTATGTATGTGACTGGCATTTGTGGCTCACGTTATATTTCCATTGGGCAACAGTGCTCTAAAGCAGAGGGCAGCAAACTCTGTAAAGGGTCAGACAATATTTTACGTTTTGTGGCCCACACAGTCTGTGTCACATATTCTTATTTTTGTTGTCTTTTTACAATCCCTTAAAAATGTAGAAACCATCCTTAGCTCATAGACATTACAAAAACAGGTTGCAGGCTGGATTTGGCCCATCGGCCATAGCATACTGGGCCCTAATCTCAGCAGACCAGCTAGTCTGAGACTTTTACTTTGATATCCTGAAGAATAAACATAAAGCTTCAAAATTGTAAGCATTTGGGCAGTCAGCATCTTGCTCTCCTGTAGAAAATACTTTTGATTTTCTTAAACATTATAAATTGTTCTTCAAAATTGAGTGATGTGGAACTTTTCTTTCTCTCTTAGTCATCTGTATATTTTAAGCATTCTTATGAAGACTGGCTGGAAAACAACGGATTAAGCATCTCCCCTTTTCACATAAGATGGCAAACTGCTGTTTTCAATCGTGCCTTTTACAGTTGGGGACGGCGGAAAGCGAGGCTGCTTTACCAGTGGTATGCTTCATTTTCTCTTTACGGTTTAAATTAGTCATTGTGATCATGAGAAATGCTTGTTAAATTAGCTGTTTCCATCAATTACCAATCTACTGAGTTTTAAAATGTTGGCAGTATAAAAACTTTATGGTTTTATATAAACTTATGGGATTGCCTCATTGTGCTTTCTCATACGTTAAAAATCCCAAGTTCTAAATCTTGACCTGGGTGGTGGATACATGGGTGCACATATGTAAAAATTCAGTGAGCTGTACACTTCAGACTTGTACACTTCACTGTGTACCTTATACACTAACAGAAAAGCAAAAAACACATGGGGCATTTTCCATCAGGAAAATAATCCGGGAGAATTCTCTTCCCCATCATCACACATAGAAATGAGGGTCCTAGAAGCCATAGACACCCCAGAGTCTGCAGGCTTTCCCCTGTATTTCTTTTGTGATACTCTTCCAGGGGAAGGCTATTTAAAATATTTAACAACCAATAAGCCATATGCACAACCGAAGTGGGAAACTGGCCAACCAGATTGCAGCATCAGGGTCCTGGAGCCCCCTTACCATCCCAGGCATCACCCTTTAGTTTAAAACATAAAAAGAAATCAAAAGCTTATGGCGTTTATGGTAAGGGGGTTTACGATGATCTCTGGGACACCCTAGAGACTGACAAATCAGTTGAGAGAAATTCTAGTATGGCAGTAGGGGGCCTTTGTCTAAATTCCTTTGTGTTAAAAATTGAGCTCCAGGGCCGGCCGAGTGGCGCGATGGTTAAGAACTCGCTTGGGATGCCAGAGGGCCCCGGTTCGGATCCCACATATGAGGGCCAGTGACACTGCCCTCCACAGCTAAGATGCTGAACAACAGCTCAACCTGGAGCTGGGTTGCCATGAGTCGCCGGCGACGGCGTGGGCTGCAGTCCCTGTGGCAGTGGATTGCCATGGGCTACCGTGTGTGTCCAGCAGCCAGCGTGAGCGGCCAGCAGCCGCAGTGAGCGGCCGTCCAGAGGCCGGCGACTGATCTGCCTCGCCAGAGAAGAGCGCAATGATGGTGCCAACTTGGGCCAGTGAAGCAACGTCCTCCACAACTAGACTGAAGAACAAAACAACAGCAACTTGTCTGTTCCCCTTTCCCCAATTCCCCAGCACTGTTCCCATCCCCCCAATTTCCCAATAAAAATCTTTAAAAAAAAAAAAAAAAAAAAAAAAAATTGAGCTCCAAATGGAGTAGACCTAAATGAAAATACTCAGATCATCAAAATGCAGAAAATGCAACAGCAAATCAAAGCAAACAAGAGGAAGTAGGAAATACTAAAGAGCAGAAATCAGTGAAGTAGAAAGTATACAGTACAGCAAATCAGCAAAGCCAAAAGTTGGTTCTTTGAAAAGATTAATAAAATGTATAAACCTGTACCATGACTGATTAAGAAAAGAGAGCCCATAAGTAACTAAAAAGCAGAATTGAAAATTGGAACATTAATATAGATTCTATAAACATTAAAAAAATGAAATTATTATAAACAATTCTGTGCCTATAAATTTGACAATATAGATGAACAAGTTCCTTGAAAAACACAACTTATCAAAATGTATTAGATTATCCCAACTATAGAAGGGTAACTGCTAATTACAAAAACAGTAAAAGAAAGAAACTCATTAAATGTTACCATGTTAGTATTTAAGCTCATCACAAAATACAGCTAACATAAGATACAAATAATAGAACTGGTAGAGGAAAAAGAATGGATATCTGTAATGTCAAAAGAATTTTAATAACAGAACAAGATCAAAACATTGCTATGTAAATGAGCAAAAGACATGCAAGGAAACAAACTTTATTGGGAAGAATATTCAGCCTCTTAAATTATGAGAGAACTGTAAGTTATTAGAACTGTTTAAAGAGACAAGTGCCTGTGCTTCAGTCACAGATCTGAAGTTCAGTAGGAAAAAGAGACAGAGGTATGGGACTTTTTAGACATTTATTTTGAAGCTATGAAATGTGGCTGGTCGATGAATCTTTTTAGTCCCTCAATTGTGAGGACTTGTACATTTATGCAATTTTTTCCTCTTAACAGGTTCAATTTTGGAATGGTGTTTGGCGTAATTGCCATGTTTAGCTCTTTTTTTCTACTGGGGAAAACACTGATGCAGACTTTAGCACAAATGATGGCAGACTCTTCTGCATCTTATTCTTCCTCCTCTTCTTCCTCTTCTTCCTCTTCCTCTTCTTCCTCTTCCTCTTCTTCCTCCTCCTCCTCCTCCTCCTCCTCCTCACTTCACAACGAACAGGTGCTACAAGTTGTGGTAAGTGCCTTCTTTTCACTTTACCTAAGTTTGTTGAAACATAGATACAAGATATTTCTTCTGGATAGCATAACTCCTATCCATAACATAAATATGAAAATAAATGAAAAGTCTCACGATTTCTCAAATTATCTGCTTAAATAAAAATATTAGTAAGACTACAGCAAGGAATTCTTGCAATATGTAATAGTAATAATAGTAGTAGAACAAATAGATTGTCATCAAGACTGTTACCAATACACGGGTATTTCATTTAATACATGTTGTCTTGAGATGTTAAATGATTGTTACTATCAAAGAATAAGTATGTTGATTTAGGATCTCTGTAATGTATAAATAAATTGCATTTTTATCCTATGCAAAGTGTTCCCTTTCCTCTTCGTGGCTTTCATACTTAAACCAATAATATCCTTTTAATTAAAAGTATAAGACCTTTTTGAATGGTCACTGATTTTTTTGATGTGAAGAATAATGTGCTGAGTTGTACTCCTTTGACTGTGAGCTATTTAGAATAATTCTGTCTTTAAAGCACATGTATAGACCTTTACCTTATCAGTTCATGTCTCCGGAGTTTGGAAGGGTGCTTTACCATTGGCTTTTATTTCAAAATTGTTACATGTATAGATTCCATTTCTAGGGGTCATGGATGTTATGGTTTTAATCATATTCTTATTAATGGAATAGACTATTTATGAGTTAGTGACAGTTTGTTGTTGTTGTTTTAAAGATTTTATTGGGGAATTTTGGAAGGAGAACAGTGTTGGGGAATTGGGGAAGGGGAACAGCCAAGTTGTTGTCCTTCAATCTTAATTGTGGAGGGTGCAGTTAGCTCAGCTCCAAGTCCAGTCGCCGTCTGGCTGCCCGTTGGCAGCTCGCAGCCACTCAGCTCAAGGTGCCATGTTCAATCTTAGTTGCAGGGGGGCACAGCCCACCATCCCATGTGGGAGTCGAACCCGCAACCTTGTTGTTAACAGCATGCGCTTTCATCAGCTGAGCCATCCTGCCACCTGTTGGCAGCTCAGTGGCAGCTCAGCTCGGGCGCAGCATCACTGGCCCATGTGGGAATCAAACCGGCGACCCTGTTGCTCAGAGCTCGTGCTCTTAACCAACTGAGCCACTCGGCCGGCCCTGTTCTTCTTCTTTCTTTTTTTTTTTTTTAACTCAGCACTTTGTGGCTTTTTATTAGGCTGGGTAACTATGGGAAGATTTAGAAGTCATTTGTAGAGAATGATACAGACTGTCTCCTATGGTAATAGGTCTTTCTTAGAGGTTAAAAGGATTCTCCAGGTGAGGCCTCAGGAGATGATTTATCACTTTAACAAACGTTAACTGACTGTATTCTGCCTATCGGCCATGTGCTGTTGAGTCCTGCTTATATGGGGAACAAAATCCAATCCTAGCAGTCGTGGAGCTTTTAGTCTAGAGGGAGAGCTGCTATGATTGTGCCACAGTTGGATAAAGTGTAAGTTGCTGTCGGGATAGAGAGTAGGCGTTCTGAGACATGCCTGGCACTGGGGAGAGGGTCAAGGAGAGCTTCAGGGGAAGGGTGAGGAGAGTCTACATGGGAAAGGAAGGTGGCAGTTGAGCATCCTAGTAACAGAAGGAACCATATAATATGGAAAGGTGGAGGGAATAATAACAGTAATAATAAAGTCTAGTTAGTATGCAGTGCTTCCCATGTGAGATTTTGGGGCCCGTTTTATTTTATTCTTGCAATAACCTGGAGGTAAGATTCACAGAGGAGAAAGTCAAGGCACAGAGATGTTAAGTCACTTGCCTGTGGTCACAGCTAGTAAATGGTAGATCCATCCCTCATCCACCACTGACCTCAGAGCCATTATGTTCTACTCCCTTAAGAGAGACCAATCATTTTTCAAGGGACTATAAAGTAACTTTGACCTGTGTCTAGGTGGTATATGGTGCAGGAGATAAGACAGGAGATACATGTAGAGTTTGGGTGATGAAGGGCCATTCTAATAAGTTCCGATTTTCACTGTAGATAACAGGTCTGTGAAAGTGAACCAAAGTCGGGTTCCACCGAAGATGTGGAGACCATTTAAGAGGGCAGTTGGAATAATTCACATTAGAAGTGATAAAGACTTAAACTAAATCAGTGGTAAGAAGAATGAAGGGGGTAGATTCAAGGGGTCTTTTGGAATAGAATTCTCAGGCCTTGGCGACTAATTGAACGTAAGGCTGGAGGGAGAAGGAAGAGTTTAGGATAATTCTTGGGATACATAATTGGTTATTGTTTGCCACGAAGGAGGCTAGTCGAGAAAGAAGCATGCTTGGAGGAAATATGATCATTGTCCTGTCTGCCTGATAGGATTAGATTGGCAAGATGTTCAGAGAAGAAATTATTTCTTCTTTTTGCTTCTCAGTTTATTCATAGAGCTCACAAAAATATTGACTCTGTTAGGAGAGTCATGCTTTGGAATCATTAAGAAGTCAGCCTTCCTCTTAGTCCACTGTGCATATTTATATATACGTGTAAGAACATTACATCTCCCGACATGAGCTCTTGTGCCTTAGAGAACATACTTTCTGTTTACTCTGTAATTCCCTACAGCCTCGTCCAGTATTAATTCCCAAAAACCTGGCACTCTGTGTTGCTGAGAGATCAGTATTCTGGTACATCTAATACCCTGTGTGATCATGGCCTAGACAGACGGGATTTTGTGTACTGTTGCCAGCAAAGAAGACCTACCTTCTGTTGGTATAGTTACATGCTCAAATCCTTCCCTTATCTCATTATTACATCCATTAAATAATAGAGACAACCAATGTCCTATTGGATCAAGCGTACTGATTTCTTTGACATAAAGGTAAAGTAACCAGGATACTTTGTGATTTAGAGGGGATGTACGAGTATGAGAATTAAGGTTAAGGACATACATTTAGAGAGAGGTCAGAGAAAAGGAAACTAGTGATCTGAACAGAAAGACACCTGACAACATGGGAATGGAGCAGGTATGTGCAAGAAACATTGATGTTCCTGAAAAGAATTGCTTAGTAGGGTCTGGATTAAGAGAGTTTTATATAATGAGCATCATAAAAAATGTCCCAAATATAGAGGGGAAAAAAAGGTATTCATCAAGCTCTTTTTCCTAACACTATTTGTTATTATGAAGAATTGGAAACAACCACAATATGTAACTGAGAAATGGTTAAATATTGGAATTGTCACTCAATGAAATATTGTATATACATTAAAAGTGATGATTATGAAAACTAGGGAAAGGACACTTGGAATTATTTAATGAATTTAGAAAGCAATCCAAGCAGCATGGTTTGTATCTCCTCTTCAGTTACTAAAGGAGGCTTAAAAGTGAAATTTTCCTGTTGTGCACAAAAATTCCAATTGAATTAAAATTAAAACATGAAATCATAAAACACCGTGAAAGAAAAAAACAGGTTCCTTTTTATATGAACACAGAATGAGGAAGACATAAGCATAAAATTAATAGCAGAGGGCCGGACACGTGGCTCAGTTGGTTAAGAGTTGGCTTAGAGTGTGGGCTCTGAGCATTGGGGCCACCGGTTCGATTTCCACATGGGCCAGTGACGCTACACCCGAGCTGAGCTGCCAACAGGTGGCAGGATGGCTCAGCTGGTGTAACAACAGGATTGCCTGTTCGATGGTGGGCTATGCCCACCTGCAACTAAGACTGAACTCGGCACCTTGAGCTGAGCTGCCACTTGGATGGCTCAGTGGATTGGGCGTGCACTGTTAACAATAAGGCTGCTGGGTTCGACTCCTGCGTGGAATGGTGGCTATGCCCATCCACAACTAAGATTGAACTTGGCACCTTGTGTTGAGCTGCCGCCCAGATGGCTCAGTGGATAGAGCGTTAGTTCTTAACAACAAGGCTGCCGGGTTCGACTCCCTCATGGGACGGTGGCTACACCCACCCGCAGCTACGATTGAACACAGCACCTTGAGCTTAGAGGCCACGAGCTGCTGACGGGAAGCCAGATGGCGACTGGCGCCCTCCACAGCGAAGATTGAAGAGCAACAACTTGACCGGTCCCCCTCCCCCAATTCCCCAATAAAATCTTAAAACAAACAAACAAACAAAAAAAACTAATGGCAGAAACTATGAATATGGAAGGGTCTGCTTTTAGAGAGCAGTTTGATATATATCAAAGTCCTTTAAATTTTGTGTAATAATGGCATTTGTTACCCTCGCTGTGAGGCATAATAGTAAACATTGGGCACAGATTATCTCGTGTAACCCTCAAAATTACCCTTTTATGTAAATGTGGTTATTTCCATTTTAATGATGAGGAAATTGAAGTGTTAGAATAATCCAAACTTCCTAGTTTAGGGAGGGAGCCAGAGCATCAAACCCAATGAGACTTCTCTGGAGCCTGACTCAACTATGATTGTCTAGGAATTTGTCTCCCCAAAATATTTGGGCATATGTGTCCAAATATGTTTAATTCCCCCAATGTATTTGGGTACATGTTTCCAAATATGTTTATTATAGTATTTATAAGAGCAGAAACTTTGAAAACAACTAAATGCCCAATAGTCTATTCCATAGAATACAATGCAGCTATTAAAAATCATGTTGAACCAGAAAATACTCATGGAAAAATGTTTGTGATACTATTGAGATTTCAAAACCATATTTATAATAAAAGTGTAATTTTAAAAGTGTACATGAAAAGACTAGAAGGACATGCATTACAACATTGAGAATGGTTTTTTGTTTTGTGCTTTGGGAGGATTTTTTTTTTCTTTGAGTTTTCAGGTTTTTCTGCTTTAAACATATTTTATAGTTAAATTAATAAAAGGAAAAAGGAATTTCCTCCAGAGGGATGCCGTTAGGGTCCCAACTCCTGGACTGTGAAAAATAAATGCTCAGTATGTAAAGAGTATTAATGATGCCTGGTGTGCCCCACTTAACCTAATTTATAGAATGTCTCCTTAATGGATGACATAATTTGGGAGCAATTATTTATCTTAACGAGCAGATTCTTGGGTATCTAAAAAAAAATTTAACCATGCAGCACTTACAACAGCAAACTTCCCTTGTGAACGCAGTGATATATATACATGCACGACATCTTAGGAGCATGTGATTGCAAGACAGCTCCTGATCCTTCATAGGTCCTTAACATGTCTGTATGTTCCAAATGCCTTACTTTCTGCATTAAATTTTGATGGAATCAAAGAAATAGAGGGTATGGTATTCACACACCAACAAGGTGCTTTATTACACTATCTTTAATTATCAACTCTCATATAACTTGAGAATACTAAACTGAAATTCATTGATGGGAGGTGGGAATATCCTGTATTACTCAAATAAGTACTTGGCACCTTGGAATAACAATACAGAGGAAGGGCTAGGAATTGTGATGGGAATTGTAATCAGGCTTCCAGCCCTTGAGACTGGATCAGCTGCTTATTCCTCAGTAAATGCCATTCCCTGGCATTTTGCCAGGCTCCCTATTTCTTTCCCATGGTGCAGATCAGGAAGCTAAAATTTCAACTTTTTAACCTGGTGTTTCTTGTTCTTTTTAGATTTGTGTGCTTAGTTAAAAAACTGCCTAGTTCGAAAAACTGGCTAGTATCTTTACAATGAAGAAGTGAACCACTGATACTCATATTACTTTTAGTTTATAGAACTTTCGAGTTGGAAGTTTAAGCTTTAATATAGAGTGAACATTGTCTCTCTTGGTGCCCAAGTGTGTATTTATCATTGTGTCTACGAACAGGTTCCTGGTATAAATTTACCTGTCAACCAACTGACTTATTTCTTCGCTGCAGTCCTCATTAGTGGTGTTGTACATGAAATTGGACATGGGATAGCAGCTATTAGGTAATGATATTTACCTCTTTCTTTGTACTACATGCAAAGAAGCTTTTCATTTACGAGGGTTTATCACTAAAATCTGCTACATTTGCTCTTTTTTCTTTGGCTATTACCCAGTGTATACCCATCATTATCATTTTGAGGTACCTTCTCTTTTGCAGAGATTTATATATTGATGAATATGCTCAATTAACCATGTATATATCTGCAATATGGGTCTTTCTATCCTTTGCCAGCATGGTTATATATCCTCATGGTACTTCAAGATTTTCATCCAGTCCTGAAACCTACCTAATTGTTTCTATTCATCATTGGGTCAGAATGATAACCTCTGCACTCACAGCCCACGCACTTGCCTTCTTAGTACTTTCTTTGGCTTATCAGCTGAAATACTTTCCTGCTTCTACTCATGGCCTCTGCTAGCTAGAACAAAATATCCAAAAGCTCTGGGTTTGTTAACAAATATCATAGCCTATCTAGACACCCAAGTGAAAGATAAGGGAGGATGAGACCTGGAAGGAACTTCAAGTATCATGCCCTCTTTTTGTGACTACCCAAATGTATCATTATAATTATACCTGAGCATTTTAAAGACTACCAAATTTATAAAATCATGGTGGGGACAGGGGAAGTCACACTCCTCTTCACTCCCACTGATAATTATTGTCATAAGGAACACATATACTGATGGGGATGTGTTTTATCCTTTGGGTGTGTGGACCAGATAAAAGGTTTTAGATGAGAAATTTTTATCACTTATTACTTTCCAGTTGCTTATGAATAAGAGAGTATTGAGTGGTAATAAACCCTCATTTTGACAGAGCATATACAGTTACACAGGCGTGCCATATAGTGGTTTAAATGGGTGGCTACTTTTTTTTTAATCTGTTTCACCTTTATTTCCACGTTTTTAGCATTGGAGCCTTTAGGGTTTTACATAGAAAAGTACCGTTATCAGCAGTTTAATAATTCACAGTATGTGAAATAATGCAGGTAATTTTTTTATAAAATCCCAACTGCCAAGAAGAAGGTGAATTTTAGTCATTTTTCTGTATTTAGTACTAAGTAACTGCACAGTATATTTAGGTGATGCTTTTTTTAGAGTAGCTGTGTGGTCTTATGAGGCTATTAAATGTAATACCATTTTTAGAGAATGACTTGACAAAAAAAAGTCCTCCTAAGGACAGTCTGAGTATTATGCATTTAAAAATGTACTTTAACATTAATTCAATAGGAGTACACTTAGATAAACCTCCACCTTCATTTATAATAACTAAGACACATATAAATATTTAGATAATTTATTTGAATTATATTTCCTACTGTGTCCTTCTCTGAAAATAATTCAGAGTAAACCATAAAAATATTTTTCATTTAGTTTCTCACTAAAATACTGGGGGTGCCAAAAAATGTATACACATGACTTGTATTCATCTTTTGTTATTGGTATATATTATTACAATTTTAATAGTTTTTTCCTTTCTTAAAATGTGTATACATTTTTTTGGCACCCTCTGTATTAACCATTTCTTTATGTATGTGACTAATTTCAAGTTATTTGCTCAGCGTATTGGTTTCTGAAAATTTTGAAAAAGTCTATTTCAAAATGCCGTGTTCTACAAAATGTAATTTCACAGTCCACCAAATCTATACACTATTGTAAAACTATGATATATATTGGGTTGTCGGGAAAGTCATGACGCATTTTTGCAACGAAAAACAAAAAATATGTCATGAGTTTTCCGACAACCCTATATATATATGATATGATATCATATATGTAGGTATAACTTTTTGACTATCCAGAGAGACTTGTTTTTTTAAACAAAAATTTGAAGTACAGTAGGACATTTTAAGATTATATACATTATTAATTTGACGAATGAAATACTAGTAGTAAATTCCTTTTTCTTATGTGATTTCTTAGGGAACAAGTTCGATTTAATGGCTTTGGGATTTTTCTCTTCATTATTTATCCTGGAGCATTTGTTGATCTGTTCACCACTCATTTGCAACTTATATCGCCAGTCCAGCAACTAAGGATATTTTGTGCAGGTAACAGACTTAAATTTCTTTATTCATCTATGTGTTGTTAGTGGTTTTATAGAAAGTACTCACATAACAAATGAAAACACCTCTTTTGATTAATAAATTCTGTTTATAAGACTCTCAGTCAAAAGAAGTAGAGCAAAATAATTTACGTTTCCATTTTCTTCATTAAAAATAATTAAAACCAACATAAGTTATTTTAAGAAGATTGAAAGTAAAAGGAGCAGAATATACCATGCAAATGTGAACAGAAATATGACTAAAGCATTACATGAGACATAGGGGGCCACTTAATAATCATATGGAATATAATCCACAATGAAAATATAATCGTTGTGAATCTTACTGTATTAGGTAACAAACCATCAAAACAAAAATGGAAAAAGCCCAAGGAAAACAACAGATGTAATAAAGAAGACTCATATCTTTTAACACCTGGCACATAGGTATTGAAAAAGTCAATCATCGAAGCTCTTAGGTACAATTCAATAAATATGTTAAACTCTATACCACAATTTCTTTTCAAATATCCATGAAACATAAAAATTGTCCAATTTCATTCAAAACCATAATTGCAGTATATTTAAAAATGATGATGAAATGTGTAGTTTTTCTAAAAGGAAAATACACTGCCTTAGGCAGTTATGAAATAAGAAATGAAAGTAAATCAGTTAAGCATTCAACTGAAGAAGTGAGGAAAACAACTGTAAAATAATTAGGAAATTATGTAATTAGTAAGGATATAGGCAGACAATAATAAATTAGAAAAAAGAAACGGAACTATTAAATCCAAGAGTTAGTTCTTTGAAGAAAAAGAATGGAAGAAAGCTTCTATAGACAGAATTAGCAGTCAGAGTGGGGAATGACAACTGATACAGACAAAAGTAAAACAATTACAAAAGTGTTCTTTGTTCATCTCTGCAAAATTTTCAAAAACCTGGATGATTATTTAAAACAGTGTAAATAAACCCCAGAGGATATAGAAAAAAAATCTATGCAATGGTCTAGTTACAATCGGAGAAATTAAGAAAGTTGAAGACTACCCTGACCCCGAATAGCCACAGCAATCTTGAGAAAGAAGAACAAAGCTGGAGGTATCATGCTACCTGATATCAAACTATACTACAAGGCCACAGTAATCAAAATAGCATGATCTTGGCATAAAAACAGACACATAGATCAATGGAACAGAATAGAAAGCCCAGAAATAAATGCATGCCTATATGGTCAATCTATGACAAAGGAAGCAAGAATATACAATGGCATAAAGACAGTATATTCAATAAATGATGCTGGGAAATGGGACAGATACATGCAAAAAAAATGAAAGTGGACCACCTTATTACATATAAAAGACTAAAGTCAGAATGGATTAAAGACTTAAATGTAAGACCTGAAACCATAAAACTCCTAGAAGAAAACATAGTCAACTCTGAGACATTATCCTTAGTAATAATTTTACTGATACTTCTCCATCGACAAGGGAAACAAAAGAAAAAATAAACAAATGGGACTACATCAAACTAAAAAGTTTTTGCACAGTAAAGGAAGCCATCAACAAAATGAAAAGACAGCCTACTGAATGGGAGAAGATACTCTCCAATGATACGTCTGATAAGGGGTTAATATCCAAAATCTATAAAAAAACCCCAAAAAACCAAAAACTCGTACAGCTCAGTACCAAAAAAAACAATCAAATAAAAAAATGGGCACAGGGCCTGAATAGATCTTTTTCCAAAGAGGATATATAGATGGCCAATAGACATGAAAAAAAAATGCTCAAAGTAACTAATCAGAGAAATACAAATTAGAACCACAATGAAATATCACCTCACACCTGTCAGAATGGCCATCATCAATACATCAACAAACAACAAGTGTTGGTGAAGATGTAGAGAAAAGGGAACCCTTGTGCTTTGTTGGTGGGATTGTAAATTGGTACAGTCACTATGGAAAACTGGAGGTTCCTCAAAAAATTAAAAATATAGCTACCTTATGACCCAGCAGTTCCACTCCTGGGTATTTATCTGAAGAAATCCAAAACAATTTGAAAAGATTCATTTTTTTGGCACTCCCGGAATATATAATGGAATATTACTCAACCATAAAAAAGAATGAAATCGTACCATTTGCAACAACATGGATGAACTTAGAGGGTATTATGCTAGGTGAAATCAAGTCACACTGAGAAAAGACATACCATATGATCTCGCTTATTTGTGAAATTTAAAGAACAAAATAAAACAAATAGACTCATAGATACGGAGAACAAACTGATGGTTACTAGATGGGAGGGGGTTGGGGGACTGGGTGAAAAAGGTGAAGGGATTAAAAAGTACAAATTGGTAGTTCCAAAAGTCTTGGGATTGTAAAATACAGTATGGGGAATATAGTCAATAATATTTTTTTTGTAAGCATAGTCAATAATATTGTAAAAACTATGTATAGTGTCAGATGGGTACTAGACTTATTGGGGAATCATTCATAAATTATATAAATATCTAACCACTATGCTATATACCTGAAACTAATATATTGGGTTGTCAGAAAAGCCATGATGCATTTTTGCAACAAAAAACATAGAAAAAATACATCATGGGCTGGCCAAGTGGCACATAGGTTAAGAGTTGGCTTGGGACACCAGCTCTGAGCAGCAGGGCCCCGGTTCGGATCTCACATGAGGGCCAGTGACGCTGCACCCTCTACAGCTAAGATGGTGAACAACAGCTCAACCTGGAGCTGGGCTGCCATGAGTCGCTGGCGACGGCGTACGCTGCAGTGGGCTGCCATGAACTATGGTGAGTGGCTGGCAGCCGCTGTGAGCGGCCGTCCAATGGCTGGCAAGCAACTGCCTCACCCAAGAAGAATGCAATGATCACAATACCAACATGGGCCAGTGAAGCAACGTCCTCCACAACTACACTGAAGAACAAAAGGACAGCAACTTGTCTTCCCCTTCCCCAATTCCCCAGCACTGTTCCCATCCCCCAATTCCCCAATAAAATCTTCAAAAAGGAAAAAAAATACATCACGACTTTTCCGACAACCCAATAATATCGACTATCAACTATACTTTTAAAAAAAGTCACAAGGATGTATATAGTATAGCATAGGAAATGTAGGCAATAATATTCTAATAATTATGTACAGTGTCAGATGGGGTTATCTGGGGTTATTTGGGTTATCACTTTGTGAGTTATATAAATGTCTAATCACTATGTTGTTCTGTACACCTAAAACATATTTTAAAAAGCCCCTAAAAGTTTCATAGGTGGAATTCTTTTAAATCTTGAAGGAAAAGATTTTTCTTTTAAATTCCAATTTAGTATAAATTTTCCAGATCACATAGAGAAGGAAACTAAGATTTTTTTAAAAGTCTTTATAGCAGATACATCTTTGAAAGCACCAAAAAAACTCTATAGACACATGGTGTATCTAAAAGAAAGGATAGTTCAACATTCGAAAATCTATTGAATGTGGTAAACATTATTAACCATTGGGGGTGGTGGGAATCCTCATCTCAGCAGATACTGAAACAGGTATTTAACAAAATTCAACATCCATTAACGGCGAAAAACCAAAAATCCTTAGTAAAAGTAGAAATAGCTGGATACTTCCTAATAACACTTAGAAGCATTCCTATTAAACGACAAGACAAGCAATCCCACTATCAACTATCACTGATACTATTAAATATTTGGTCTGTAAATGCGGTACAATTAAATAAGGGGGGGAAACCAAAAATATTAGAAAGGAGGCCTTTTTTTTCAGCTACTGTTATACACCTGGGAGTAACAATAAAATCAACGGAAACGAAATGTTGGAAAATACAGTAAAAAGCCTGGTTACCGAATTAATTTTCAAAAAGCAACATCTTGCCAGGCAAGTGGAGCAAGAGATGAGGGCTAGCGCATGCGTGAGTGCGCGGGGATGAACGGGCCCGCGCGCGCTGTGTTACTGGCAAGCGCACGCGCATGGTGCCCCGAGACGCAGAAGCCCAGAAGCGCATGCGCCAGGCATGCCCAGGATCCACCGCGGCTTATCTATCTCTCGATCGTCGATCGTGTGCGCGCTCTTTTCTGGAGCTCGTGCTATCCTCACGAACTCGAGCTTTGCTGCCTCAGACTTTCTTTTCTGGGAGTTTTCAGTTACCCAGTAGCCAAAGCCTCTTCAGTTCTCTGAGCCATGGCCTCAAACGACGCTGTCTACATCACCACAGAAAATTCGGAGATTACTTCAGAGACTGTGCAGGTGCACCCTGCAGAGGCCGTCCCGGTGGACACTGTCCCTGTGGACCTTCCGGAGGCCATCCCTGTGGAGATCCTCCCTGTGGAGATCGATCCTGTGGACCTTGCGGAGGCCTTCCCTGTGGAGATCCTCCCTGTGGAGATCATCCCTGTGGAGATTGTGGACCAGGCAGAGGCCATCCCTGCGGAGATTGACCCTGTGGACCTGGCGGAGGCCGTCCCTGCAGAGATCGACCCTGTGGACCTGGCGGAGGCCGTCCCTGTGGAGCTCGACCCTGTGGACCTGGCGGAGGCCGTCCCTGTGGAGCTCGACCCTGTGGACCTGGCG